GTAACATCACCAAAATGGTGAGAATGTAACGTCATCAAAAAGGTGTGAATATAACATCACCGAAAGGGTGCGAACATAATGTTACCAAAAGTGAACGAACAAAATATCATTGATACTTATGGATGCAAGTCATTAGAGTTAAGGCCGAGCCATCATGAGTGGTAAACATATTGTTCATGGTCGGGTGCTATGGACTATGGATCCATGATATGGATCGATGGCTCAAAAAGAAGTGTATATGAAACAGCCTTAAAGTTTTATTGTACCTTGTAATAAGTATAAAAATATAGACATTCATATGTATGGTAATGAAAGCACATAGACACTAACATCAATTTTTTTTTTTTTTGGAAAAATGGAAAGGCATGACTCTTGATGATAAATACTACACACCTATAGAAATGAATATACAATCCAAGGTGTATCGTGTTAAACAAATAATGGAACTACTTTATAAAGTTTGTATGCCAAATTAAATGCAAACCATTTTTAAAATTAAATATAAAAATTATCAGAGAAGGTTAATTATTTATTTGTTTCCTTAAAAGACACTTTTAAGGGTATTTAAGAAATCATAAAATATATTTTTCAAAAATACTCCACATTTCATTTTATTTGGCATTCGCAACCTTTCACATTAATTGAGATTTTTATTAAGATACACAACTTTTTATTTTATTTGGCATCACAATCTTTAGAATTAACTGAGATTTTTGTTAAGATACACAGCCTTTCATTTTATTTATTAATAAACACAACTTTTCATTTTATTTTTTTAAAGAGGCACAACTTTCCATTTTATTTTGCCTTTACAATATTTCACATTAATTGGCATTTTTATTAAGATACAGAACTTTAGAATTAATTGGTATTTTTATTAAGACACACAACCTTTCATTTTATTTATTAAGAGACACAGCTTTTCATTTTATTTTATTAAGAGACACAACCTTTCATTTTATTTATTAAGAGAAACAACTTTCATTTTATTTTACATTTACAACATTTCACATTAATTGATATTTTTATTAAGAGTCACAACCTTTCATCTTGATTGACATTCACAACTTTTAGAATTAATTGGGATTTTTTATTAAGGTACACAATTTTTATTTTATTTGACATTCACAATCTTTAGAATTAGTTGTGATTTTTATTAAGAGACAACCTCTCAATTTATTTATTAAGAGACACAATCATTCAGTTATTTCTTTAAAGAGACACAAATTTTCATTTAATTTTGTATTTTCAACCTTTCACACTAATAGGAATTTTTATTAAGAGTCTCAATTTTTTTTATTTGGCATTCACAGACTTTAAATTAATCAAGATTTTTATAATTAGTAGATTTTTATTATGAGAAGACACAACTCTTATAACTGTTTTAAATATTTTTAAATTATTTTTTCTGAGACACAATTGTTTTTATAATGAAAAGATGCAACTTTTAAACTAATATATTTCATTTTTAATGAAGAGATATAACCTTTCAAAAATTGTTATTATGAAAAGAGACAATTCTTACAACCTCTTTTAAATACTTTTAAACTATTTTTTATGAGACACAAACTTTTTTATAATGAAAAGATAGAATTTTTAAAATAATAGAAATTATTTTATAAAAAGACACAATTCTATTTATAATAAAAAGATGCAACTTTTAAGCTAATATATTTCAGTTCTTATGAAAAGATACACAACCTTTAAAACTAATATATTTCAGTTCTTTAAATAGACACAATTTTTCATTTTATTTTGTATTTTCAACCTTTCACACTAATAGACATTTTTATTAAGAGTCTCAATTTTCTTTTTATTCGGCATTCACAGCCTTTGAAATTAATCAAGATTGTTATAATTAGTAGATTTTTATTATGAGAAGACGCAACTCTTATAACTATTTTAAATATTTTTAAATTATTTTTTGTGAGACACAATTGT